CCCCAAAACCCCAAAACCCCAAAACCCCTCATCATTATAAGCTTTGATGAAGGTCTGAAAGTAAAATAAAATATAATTGAGAATAATATGAAATTAAGATCTTTGATAATCATGATTAAAATCTATGTAGAAGTCTAAATGAGAGTCAGGCTTTAATGATATCTTTGATTTTAGTTCAGACTAGTAAATCTTTGTACTTTTCCTAGGACTTCTAGACTAAGTCAAAGAATACATCATGCGACTCCTTGACTGCCTAGAGCTCAAACATCTTTTATTGCCACTATTTGACTTTAGGGAATTGATCAAGGTACTGATCACAGTTAATCAAGAATCTAAGCTATGTTACATCGGCAAGTGATGAAAAATCAGCCATTGATATTTAGTCATCAATCAAATACTAATGACCCTCATTGAGTCTCATCTCTAAAATAGTTAACCCATTAAGCATTCTTTTCTCAGTTTCATCAACTTCAGACTGTGATACTACAATATCAAGTTTACGCAGTTTGACAAAGTATTTCAAGAAGATCAGTCTGTTTGACTAGTATCTGAGACCAACATGATTCCAGTCAACCATCATGTCTATTTTGGCTCTGAGTTAGGGATTTTAATCTGACTTGGGGTACAGGCCATCAGGAATTTTAGAGCTGTTGGTATCAGCTAGATATCTCATAATAGCAGCAGATTCTGTAATTGCAAACTCATAATTTGGATCATTCAAATCTAATTCTAGTAAACTAGGTACTACTTGCATAGGAAATAGTCTTTTATATTCATTCGTTTTATGCTCATTTTTAGTAAGTCTGATCTATTAAAGCTCAACGTTTTAGATATCAGCATATTTAGTAAACATAACGACAGCTCTACTTGGTGGACTAGCCCAATCAAATCCTATTCTCTTAACTATTAGTTTCTTCATTTATTTAATAAATCTTATAACTATAATCAACTGATCTGCTTTATAATCAATAAGGGGTTTTGGGGTTTTGGGGTTTTGGGGTTTTGGGGTTTTGGGG